CGGGGGGTGGGGGGTGGGGGGTGAAGAAGGAGGAATGAGAGAAGGAAAAGTAGGCAGATGGAGAGGAAGAAGAAAGGGGAGATGCGGATGTCGGACCAATGATGATGACAGTGGTCACTTGTACATACGCGTTAATGCCAATATTTAATTTTCTAGTTTACTATTGCAATAACGAAACTTGAAAAAATCAGTCTAGATCTTTATAAATCGCCATTCTATTGTCGGTAGTATTATATTATCCGTGTTAGTGTCGGCTTTGATAGTGTAAATATACAGACCAGACACAAACTCATACGATCAATTATTTGTAGTATATAATAACATTACAGAAATAGACAGCAACTACCGTATATAACAGTTAATCTTTATCAATAATACATAAAGGCTGCTTCTGATCACTATGACGACACGCTAAAGGGGGGAGGGTGTGGGGGTGGTGGGGTGTGTGTGTGTCCATTACAGTCTAGCGTCATTGTCACTATCAACGTGTCTGTCCTATTATCAATGAACATGTACATTCCCCTGTTTTTATAGTACATTTTGTATATGCACCTGTATTATTTTGATAGTCCGGGGTTTTACGTAAGGTTGCCTTGTCTTCGTGAAGAGCCTGTCTAAGAACAGTGACATCAGTCGATGGTGAGGAGCCTGTCTAAGAACAGCGACATCAGTCATTGATGAGGAGCCTGTCTAAGAACAGCGATATCAGTCAATGGTGAGGAGCCAGTCTAAGAACAGTGACATCAGTCAATGGTGAGGAGCCTGTCTAAGAACAGTGACATCAGTCATTGATGAGGAGCCTGTCTAAGAACAGCGACATCAGTCAATGGTGAGGGGCCTGTCTAAGAACAGTGATATCAGTCAATGGTGAGGGGCCTGTCTTAGAACAGTGATATCAGTCAATGGTGAGGAGCCTGTCTAAGAACAGTGATATCAGTCAATGGTGAGGAGCCTGTCTAAGAACAGTGACATCAGTCAATGGTGAGGAGCCTGTCTTAGAACAGTGATATCAGTCGATGGTGAGGAGCCTGTCTACGAACAGTGATATCAGTCAATGGTGAGTAGCCTGACTACGAACATTGATATCAGTCAATGGTGAGGAGCCTGACTACGAACAGTGACATCAGTCAATGGGGAGGAGCCTGTCTAAGAACAGTGATATCAGTCAATCATGAGGCGCCTGTCTACAAACAGTGACATCAGTCAATGGAGAGGAGCCTGTCTAAGAACAGTGACATCAGTCAATGATGAGGAGCCTGTCTAAGAACAGTGATATCAGTCAATGATGAGGAGCCTGCCTACAAACAGTGACATCAGTCAATGGTGAGGAGCCTCTCTACGAACAGTGATATCAGTCAATGGTGAGGACCCTGACTACGAACAGTGACATCAGTCAATGGTGAGTAGCCTGACTACGAACAGTGACATCAGTCAATGGGGAGGAGCCTGTCTAAGAACAGTGATATCAGTCAATGATGAGGAGCCTGTCTACGAACAGAGATATCAGTCAATGATGAGGAGCCTGTCTACGAACAGTGATACCAGTCAATGATGAGCAGCCTGTCTACAAACAGTGACATCAGTCAATGGAGAGGAGCCTGTCTAAGAACAGCGACATCAGTCAATGGTGAGGAGCCTGTCTAAGAACATTGATATCAGTCAATGGTGAGGAGCCTGACTAAGAACAGTGATATCAGTCAATGGCGAGGAGCCTGTCTAAGAACAGTGATATCAGTCAATCATGAGGCGCCTGTCTACAAACAGTGACATCAGTCAATGGAGAGGAGCCTGTCTAAGAACAGTGACATCAGTCAATGATGAGGAGCCTGTCTAAGAACAGTGATATCAGTCAATGTTGAGGAGCCTGTCTAAGAACAGTGATATCAGTCAATGTTGAGGAGCCTGTCTAAGAACAGTGACATCAGACAATGGTGAGGAGCCTGACTACGAACAGTGACATCAGTCAAGGGTGAGGAGCCTGTCTAAGAACAGTGATATCAGTCAATGGCGAGGAGCCTGTCTAAGAACAGTGATATCAGTCAATAGTGAGGAGCCTGTCTAAGAACAGTGACATCAGTCAATGGCGAGGAGCCTGTCTTAGAACAGTGATATCAGTCGATAGTGAGGAGCCTGTCTACGAACAGTGATATCAGTCAATGGCGAGGAGCCTGTCTAAGAACAGTGACATCAGTCAATGATGAGGAGCCTGTCTACGAACAGTGATATCAGTCAATGATGAGGAGCCTGTCTACAAACAGTGACATCAGTCAATGGTGAGGAGCCTGTCTAAGAACAGTGACATCAGTCAATGATGAGGAGCCTTTCTACGAACAGTGATATCAGTCAATGATGAGGATCCTGTCTACAAACAGTGACATCAGTCAATGGAGAGGAGGCTGTCTAAGAACAGTGATATCAGTCAATGGGGAGGAGCCTGACTACGAACAGTGACATCCGTCAATGGTGAGGAGCCTGTCTAAGAACACTGATATCAGTCAATGGTGAGGAGCCTGTCGAAGAACAGTGATATCAGTCAATGGTGGGGAGCCTGTCTAAGAACAGTGATATCACTCAATGGAGAGGAGCCTGTCTAAGAACAGGGATATCAGTCCATGGTGAGGAGCCTGTCTAAGAACACTGATATCAGTCAATGGTGAGGAGCCTGGCTAAGAACAGTGATATCAGTCAATGGCGAGGAGCCTGTCTAAGAACAGTGACATCAGTAAATGATGAGGAGCCTGTCTAAAAACAGTGATATCAGTCAATGGTGAGGACCCTGACTTCGAACAGTGACATCATTCAATGGTGAGGAGCCTGTCTAAGACCAGTGATATCAGTCAATGGTGAGGAGCATGTCTAAGAACAGTGACATCAGTCAATGTTGAGTAGCCTGTCTAAGAACAGTGACAGCAGTCAATGGTGAGGAGCCTGTCTAAAAACAGTGATATCAGTCAATGGTGAGGAGACTGTCTAAGAACAGTGATATCAGTCAATGGGGAGGAGCCTGTCTAAGAACAGAGATATCAGTCAATGGGGAGGAGACTGTCTAAGAACAGTGATATCAGTCAATGGAGAGGAGCCTGTCTAAGAACAGTGATACCAGTCAATGGTGAGGAGCCTGACTACGAACAGTGACATCCGTCAATGGTGAGGAGCCTGTCTAAGACCAGTGATATCAGTCAATGGTGAGGACCCTGACTTCGAACAGTGACATCATTCAATGGTGAGGAGCCTGTCTAAGACCAGTGATATCAGTCAATGGTGAGGATGATGAGGAGCCTGTCTAAGAACAGTGAAATCAGTCAATGGTGAGGAGCCTGTCGAAGAACAGTGATATCAGTCAATGGTTAGGAGCCTGTCTAATAACAGGGATATCAGTCAATGGTGAGGAGCCTGTATAAGAACAGAGACATTTAACAGTGACATCAGTCAATGGTGAGTAGCCTGTCTAAGAACAGTGATATCAGGCAATGTTGAGGAGCCTGTCTAAGAACAGTGACATCAGTCGAGGGTGAGGAGCCAGTCTAAGAACAGTGATATCAGTCAATGGGGAGGAGCCTGTCTAAGAACAGTGACAGCAGACAATGGTGAGGAGCCTGACTAAGAACAGTGACATCAGTCAATGTTGAGTAGCCTGTCTAAGAACAGTGACATCAGTCGAGGGTGAGGAGCCAGTCTAAGAACAGTGATATAAGTCAATGGTGAGGAGCCTGTCTAAGAACAGTGACATCAGTCGATGGTGAGGAGCCAGTCTAAGAACAGTGATATCAGTCAATGGTGAGGAGCCTGTCTAAGAACAGTGATATCAGTCAATGGTGAGGAGCCTGTATAAGAACAGAGACATTTGTGCTGTATAGTTATTTTATTCAAAATTCTGACGGGCATGCAAGCCGAAAAAGAACATGGCAGAAAACGCATTTCCGTGTTCCTGCATTCTTTACATACGAAAAAAACAACTAACATTTAAACGACGTTGTCGTAATTTTTGGGCCATTCCGTTCTGCGTTTGAGTTACATCCGCTGTACTCCACTTTCAAACGGTAATCAGCTTGTGACGATACGGCAAAACCTCCAAAGAATTCGGGATATATATATAAATTATGTTACATCGAGGTTGTTGGGATAAGTACGTCTGCTATACCGATTATGACATATATTGACACGAGATAGTTAATGTGTTACACAGGTGGCGCACACAAATCACACTGAAGATCTAAGAACCGGAAGTTCAATTATTGACGGGTCTTTCCGGTAAATAATGGACAGGTGCGCAGGTCACAGTTGATTGCAATAGTCTAGACATTTATAGCTGATCCATCAATGGAATTCAGCACAAAGTAGGGTGAGTGGGCGTGTTGTTAAGTTAAGCGTATGCTAGCCTACTGTAAGACAACTTTCTATTTGTATATGGATGATTAAAATATTATTATGGGGTTTCCGAACAGTCTAGTAATTTAATATACACCTGTATTACAATGTCGGGAAATAATAGTGCTAATCCCAAAATCTACTGTAGATGTAGGTCTATCAGAAGGCATTGCTATCTCTAAACCGTCATCGGAGCACCACATCAGTCCGACTCTATTTACAAATTGCAATTGTTTCCTGGTGTCAAACATTTTAGTCAAAGCTGTCAACACAATGATCCTAAGCGAGATGAATTAAAAGCTACTCTGTTTTACCATTTCGGAGATGGTATTACAGGACTACTGCTTTATTGCTTCTGGCACCTCCAG